TCAAGGACTTACTATAAAAGTATCTTTTATTTAAAAGTTCTACTGTATTGATATTTAAAAAACTATGTTAAGTATAATAATATCTATATAACTGTCATAAACTATAAAATATGGATACTAATCAATATGAAAATTTATAACAGAAATTTACCTGATCTACTATGCCTTCTAAAGTTAGGACAATTGTTGGATGAACTTCTCGTTGTTGATGCATTACTTTAGAAAAACGTACCATCGCAGGTGTGGCACGTAAAGAAGAATCAGTTAATCCAGTGCTTTGAGTAGTAGAATCTATAAACAATTTAAAAATTTTTAAATAAAATAAATTATTATTTAATATTAATTAGTACTTTGGGTAGAATCATTAGTTTGTGATTGCTTGTTTGCTGCAGCTAATAATTCAGAATTTCTACAACGTTCTCTATATTCAATTTTATGAGTAAAATATAGTGTTCTTGTTGGAAAATATACGGCTTGTGGATACAATCTTCCAACCTAAATAATAAATAACAATAATAAACAAAAAGTCTTTTTTTTTTTAAATTTTATATTTTGTTACTTGTATCAATAAGTTTTGTAATAAAGAACCTCCATCGCTTGCCAATGTAGTTAATAATTGTGGCACCCAAGGCAACCATAATGCAGGTGGAACTCCATTGAAATGTGTATCAACTGTACTGAGCAATGAATATTCTTTATCATCATAAGTTAAAAGCCATAATACTTTTGCCAAATATTTTCGATATTTAGACTCATTTTGTTGACGGCAAGCTTGCAAAAAGCATATTATTGCAGCTACACCAGTTTGCATTGTCTGATTTGGATAACTTTTAGTAAAATACTCCTCCATATATTCGCCCCAAAGTGCCCAAGCTTTAACCATAGAATCATGTAATTGCACAGCTGCTGAAAAAGCTTTGTGTGCTTCTTCAGATTTTCCTTTATTATTTACAAAAAAAATTATAGTTTGAATAATAATAAAACATACAAAGTAATATAATAAAATTACCAATTTGGCCCAAAAGCATTCCTTTAAGTGCATAGAATTCAGCAGTCATTTCACTTTGGAAAAATTTTAAATTTGTTCTCTCAATAGCTTCCAAACACTAAAATAAACAGGAAATAAATATTAAAAACCAATCAAAAATATACTTAATATTATTACAAATACTAACATCTTGAATTTCATGTTTATTAGATGATATGGATGCCATTTGCATATAACACTTTACTTGTTGTCTAATTTTATGGAAACAATCAACTACAGGTACATTAGGTATTGTATACAATCGAGATAATGTTTGAAGACAAACTCCAGTTAAATTATGTTTACGGCTAACTTTGCCAAAGTGTATTATAGCCTGAAATAAAGAGTATAATTATTTATTCATTTAAAGAAATAAAATTACAATATGCATATACTTGAGCAGAAGCGTGAACACCCAATACTGCATTTGTACTTTGTTCAGGTCGCGAACAATATTCAATAACAAATTGGTAATGATGTTGTCGCCAAACAAATACATCACTCCAATGACTTAAGTCATCAGCTACAACTGGCAACCGATTTTTCCACGTTTTTAAAATTGCTTTCATATTGTGCAATGAATTGTTTGTATCCTTTTCTTGCAATCCCTGGTGTATTTGAGCAGCCTCAGATAATTCCATTATCTAAGATAAAAATAAAAATAAAATAATTTCACATAACTCTTATTGATAAATAATCCTTAGAATTTTACCAAAATAGATAATTTAATTATACAACTACAATATAAGCTCAAAACAATTTAAGAATAAATAAGTCAAAACTTAAAAATGAAACATAAATGAAAGTTTTTAGAGAGATGCTTTATGGGTATGCTAAACATATTATAATTAGTGACGTTTATAATTAATTAGTTTTTATTTTCTATTAATAAATTAATATGCACAGTACAAAACCATTATTAAATATCTAATATTTTGTGTCAATTTATGTAGGTAAAAGTGTTTATACTTTGTCCAAAAGCTTAACAATTTGTTACAAAACACATAATTAGTTTTTCTCCCTGATTTTTGTTTAAAAAAAAAAAGAAACTAATGTAAAGTTATGATAATTTTTTTAACATTTAAAGTTTAAATGTTGTGAAGTTGGCTATATGTATATCTTAAAATAGTTTTCTCGATTACTTAAATTATCATTTTCTTCATTCTATAAAATTTTCAAAATATTTAAACATTAAAATAAATTGCACTTATAACATAATGTACACAATTTCTAGTACCTATTAAAAATTTATACATTAATTTATACATACATAATTATAAATTAATAAATAAATCACGATGTATATTATTTAGCACAATATTTTTAATAATATAAAAAGATTATTTATTATAATTTATAAATAAATAATGATATACCACAAAAAACCTGTATGAAAAGGATTGTGGTGAAAGTTAGTTTAAAATGAATCTAAATATTTTAAAATAATCATTCATGTAAATAATAATATACATGAAAAATATCAAGTCTCTACAAATAATATTTATAGAATTACAACAAAATAACAAAAACTATTATTTTCTAAACTATAAGTATAACTTAAAATGAAACTTGCATTCAATTTTTAAACTTTTTTTATCAATTAAATTTTTTTATTAATATTTATAAAAGAAATTAAAAAAATTCAAATTTTAAATGCCTATAAATAACTTAAAATAAGTCTAAACATATTTCTATAATATATAAAACATAAAAAATTATGTATTAATTAATAACGGAATTTATTAAGTATCTACAAAAAATATTTTTGAATATTAACAAGATAATAAAAATTGCTGCTAATACATTTGAATTTGAATAAAATTTGAACTTTAAATACTAGAACAGAATTATTGTGACTACATCAGAAAATTATTATAATAATAATTATATAATAATTATATTTGTGATTAAGTATAAATTATATTGTATTAACGTTATATTGGTTGACGACAATAAAATATTATTATTTAATTGTTAAAAATGTTTTTTTTTTATTTCGGCGTTAAAACAAATATGTACAATATTTCTATAGTGTAAAACATTATATTTTATTATTACCCAATTAGCATTTATACAAATATTATGCTTTTAATATACGTAGATATGAATACCAAATCACGAGTTTTATACGAAGGAATTGGGTGTTTTAATGATATAATTTACGGGTAACACTAGTTCATAATAAGATAACTATTTCACCAAGATTAATCGTGTATACCTAACGCGTATACATACAATCTGTATATTTTAAGTATATGCTATGTGTATTTATTATAAATATTTAAGAATATATTTGGTTAAATTAATAGTCACGCATGCAACCGTCACGCAGACTGGTTTGGGAAATAAGTGTGCTGTTAGTGTTTTACAAAACGTTGTTTATTGTGTGTGATTTTAGTCTATAATTTGGAAAAAAATTTCAAGAAATTAGAATGTATCTATCGATTAATATCGAGCGTTTAATAAGTTACATGTGCAGTATATCCATCAACATAATAACTATAATAACTATTTTTTTAGTTCTTAGTATTAATAATTTTTAATTATTATGTCTATGGGTAATGGGTATACCTGATAACAGTTTTTTATCTATAGTCATAGTTAATGGTTAAGTGATAAGCACTTGTTAGAAAAATGATAAGACCTAAGAATATATGATAATCGAAAAAACATTGAGGTTATATTTAAAGTTTATTATATTATCATGATTATTAAAACTACAAACTAAAATATAAACACTGTTATATTTTAGTTCGTGATTTAAAATTTTCCTTATCATGGTTCATGAAAAATAAAAAAATTATTATAATATGTTAATACGAATGTAGATATGTTTTTATAATTGTAATTTATAATTTATGTGAAGTTATTAGTGCTTAGTGACATAAAGTTGCAATAAATAATGCAAAATGAATCTCATCTTAAAATATATTAAAAGAAAAGTGTTATTATATTGGATCTTAAGAGTTTGTGTGTTAAGTATTTTTCTAGTCATTAGTATTGCTGCATATTTCATTTTATTTCCATCAATAATTTACATAAATACAGCTGATATTCCAAAATTTTTAGTCAAGACAAGTGGTGGCGAATATGAACTTCTAAATAGAAGTACATGTCCATTAGTTGAAATTAAAGAAGAAACCAGTTTAATAAACATTAAAAAAACTGTCAGCAGTAAACAACTTGATTATATTAAGCAATTTGTTTCTTCAGGTGGAGAATGGATGCCAAAACATTGTATACCACAACATCATACTGCAATTATACTATGCTATCGCAATAGAACTGAACAACTTCAAACCTTTTTATATCATATACATTCATTTTTACAAAAGCAAAATATACATTATCAAATATTTGTTATAGAACAGACATTTGATGCTGAATTTAACCGCGGAAAATTATTTAATGTTGGTTATCGAGAGGTTACAATGCGTTCTCTAGCTGGATGTTTTATTTTTCATGATGTTGATTTAATGCCAGAAAATATAAATAATATTTATGGTTGTACAAGTTGTCCAAGACACATGAGTACTAGTATAAATGTTTTTAATTATAAATTGCCATACTATAATATATTTGGTGGTGCTATTGCAATGACGCGCAAACAATTTCATGACATTAATGGATTTTCAAATGTATTTTACGGATGGGGCGGTGAAGATGATGATTTGTTTAATAGAGTTTACCATAGAGGTTATAGAATTTGTCGATATCAATCATTTATATCAAGGTATACAATGTTAACACATGAAAAAGAAATACCAAATGAAAATAGGATGAAATATTTAAGAAATGGCCCAAAACGATTTTATACGGATGGTGTTGATTCGGTTACTTATAATTTGATCAAATATGAACAGTTACCATTATATACAAGAATATTAGTCAATGTTTAACTAAATATAGAAACTATTAAACTTATGAACAAACCAACATGAAACCATAATGATAATGTGAATCACTCCTTATCTTGGTATAATATATTATTTAGAGTCAACATTCATAATATTAAGCATTGGAAATATTTACACATGGGAAGATATTTTAAATATTTTTACTACTTATTACCTTTAGGTTAGTTTAATATTTAAGTATTATATTGGATATTTATCAATTATCATTAATTATGTATATTATCGGTTATTATAAGCTTAAAAAATAACTATTTATTTTACAACTAAACAAGAAATTCGTTTAACAATAGTGATTAATTACATAGTGCATTACAGTCTGTAATTAAGTTAGGTACCATATCGTATCCAGCCTAAATAAATTATAATTTTAAATCATAAAATTATAAATTAAGTTATTTACTATTACTATACTAATGCTAACATTTACAAGATTTAATGATATGAAATAAGTCTGATATTAGATTTAAATATAAATGTAATTATTATATGAAGTAAAGTGAGAAAAATAGTGGTATTTTTTAATCAGGGTGGATTATAGAAATATTAACACTGTTTACTAGTTATTAGTTAAGTATTTATGTTCATATTCCAATTTAATTTAAAATTGTGATTGTACTTATAAATTATGATCAAAATAATTTATGTATATAAATATTTAGTAAGAATGTTTTGTATTTATTAAATGAACAAATTTATCCATTAAACAGTTTTTTGTATAATAAACAAATTAATACTTAATAGTTTATACATAAATATTTTATAGATTAAATTATATGTATAAAGTACCCATTTATGAAAGTCTAAACAATAATATTACAGGTAAAATAAATTATAAGTAACAAGACTACTTGTAGTATGATTAAAAACATAGTCCTATAACTATTTTTTTATTTTATTTTTTATTATTATTTAAAAAAAAATTTCCATGCGTAAAGAAACAATTGGTTTAATTAAGATATGTAATATAAATTATAAGAATTTGAATAGATATTGAGGAAGGAACACCCAGGGATGGTTCTCCTATCAAAATTGAATTATATAAAAATAAAATATATTATGTTTAATCTAGTTTTATTAAAATTATAAGTATTGCATAATATACTTAATTGTTTTTGTCAAACTCAGTATCAGTGTAATTTATAAATTAATAGTATTTTATTTTATTTTATATTTTAATGTTTTCATTGTATGTAAAAAAAAAAAAAAAAATGCTGAGGATAATTATTCACAAAGTTTCAAAATCAAATATAGAAATATAGAAATGTTACTATGTCATAAACTTGCATTGACAGTACATACACTAAAATTGGGATGAAATAAAAAATTATTCTCATTTAAATAGTTTGTTCCTTAATTAAATCAAATACCAATAATTATTTAATAACATGCTGCATATACCATTGATAACATAACTAATAAGTATTTGTTTTTTTTATATTTACCTGTTGGGAAGCTTGAAGATATGGCAAATGAATATGTGATACAATATGTGGTAATCGTCTCCATTCTCTAATTACATGTATGCTAGCCATTTCTACATTTCGAGTAACATATGGTAAATTTGGTTCATCTGGATGACAAATTGCCAAAAATCCCCTATATAAATACATCTAATAAACAAAAGAATGGTTTTATATTTTTGAATATCATAAGATTAAAATTAAATTTAAAAAAAAATTACAATACCTTCCACAAAAATTCTTTAGGGCATGTATTGTCAACACAACTTAATGCCTCACTCATTACATGCCAATCAGGTATACGCCATGCACTGTCTAGTATTAAAAATGGATTTAGATGACCATTAAGTTTTGAATATTCAAGTAAAATGTCCCATTGATTCAGCTCTTTTGAACATCTTTAACATACAATGTTGAATAGTACATACAATTAAACTACATATTGTTAGAAATTAATTGTTTACCTAATCCATTGTGATTCCCATAACCGTGCTTCACTTAAAACCATGACTGATGCAGGAGAACTAGAAAATTCACTTTGATATTTTTCTATTAAAGACTCATATGTAGATAAAGCTTGTTCAAATAACCCTTGTTGTTCTAATGCAAGAGCAACTTTAGTCTCTCGATATTGAGCGTGTTTTTGCCACAGACCAGCCCACATGTCTTCTTCTTTAAGCTGTTTATACATTTCTGCTAATGTATCAATGACATCCTGTAAAATGATATTTTTGATAAAGTAAAATTTTAGTTAAGAATTGATTTTAAAGAACATACTCTTTGTGGAGATATTTCAGGTTCGAATTCATAACAATCTTGTTTCGTTACTTCAAAATTATTATCTATCATCATTTTTTCTAAAGACAAAGTTACACGATGCCATAAATTATGAGATTTACCAATATATAACATGACACTTGGTTTAAAATGTATTTTTGGTTGGCATTGAAATAATGCTTCAAAGAATGTGGATATAACACTTGGATGAACATCTCTTTGAACAACATGAATACCACTTACAATAAATTGATTAATTTCAGGTAATAATATCTAAAATAATAAATTAAAAAAAAAACTTTTTTACTTAATGATTTATTAAACATGTAAGCACGTTAACATGTAGATTTAATTGATACTAGTGAAGAATTAAAATAACTTTGGAGTATTTACAGTTTTTTGTGTGGAATTTAATGATTCCCAAATAGCAGGAAATAATACAAGCCAAATTTTTTCAGCTAAGCTTGAATCCATATGACATAGTTGGGCTATGGCTGAACAAATATCTCCAAGTTTCATTGATTTTAGATTATCCATAAATTTTATGTGTCTGCTAATCAATGGTTCTAATTTTCCACCCTCGACAACTTCAATGTTGTCAGTCACCATTTGATCAGTGTCCATTGCATATTCTGATTTGACTCCAATATCTTCATTAGTATTAAGAATTTCTTCAATGAAAGAAGTATCACAATTATTAACTAATTCTCTAATTGTTGGTAATTTTGATGAAGTTGATGAATTAGAATCTTTTAATGTCACGGACAAATCTATAACATATATAGAATTAATATTTATTTTAATTTTGATTCAGAAAAATATAAAAACCTTATAAAATAATCATAATAGAATATATATATGATATATAATAATACATAATACATTGATATTTATGTTCTTTAAATCTAACCATTTATCAATTTAAATTTGAAATTTGAAGTTTCTTACTTGGATCAACTGTAGCTAATAATAATTCAATGCATTGTTTTATCCAGTAATGAGTCATCATTGGTTCCCAATTTTGTGAACTCACAATATATAACAAACGCTCTGGTAATCTAGTATTAATTTGTTGATTGAATAAAGTGAAGAATTTTTCACGAACAGCGGGTTGAGAACATCGCAAACCACTTAGAAAAGCTGCTTCCAATTTATGTCCTAGTTCTGAATTACGTAACTCTTCATCCCTGAAAAATATTTTGAATGAAATAGTTATTATTATTATGATCAGTGGTAATAATAGTAACAATGCAATTTTGGTATTGATTAGAATAATTTATTTACAATAAATTAAATCTCAGATATAATAATAGTTAACTAGAGAAAATTACTTGTAAATGTGAATAATAATATCTAAATATTGAGCATTCAGATCAGGAAACTTTTTTTCAATATGCTGCATAATTTTTACCAATAGTATAGATTTTTCGCGCAAATTCGGTCCCTCATTTGGTGGATTATGCATCCATTCCTCTAACATCTAAAATATATAATATAAAAATTAAAGCTTATAATTATTTTATATTCAATTGTTAAACTACATTTTTCTATTAGAGATTAGTTTAACTGTAATAAGTGAAAATATCCAATACAAATATAAGAATAAACTAAGTTATATTTTTATAGTACTAACTAAATATTTTGTTATAAAATAAAATCCATTAACAATATAATTACACTAACTTTAAATATAGGATCATATTTTTTTATCAATGCTAAATTGATGTATTCAATCTGTTTATTGTCAAAATGTTTTTATTTATTTATTTATTTTATTTAGTTTAATAATTAACTAAATAATTTGATACATTTCTAACAATTCAAACAAATCAATAAATAATGATCCCCACTCCCGTAATAATATAAATAGTAATAACCCAATAACAATTTTTATATCCCAAAGTAACTATTTTTATTGCCACTGAGTAGCAAGTAGAGTATGCCACCTAATATTGGTATATTTCTTTTTAAATTACATTTCTTATTATACCTTTTTGTTCAGGTACTAATTTTTCTATTGGAACAAAAAATTATATAACATACTTTTAAAATTGTTTTCATTATTCTTGAATCATTTGTTTTTTCAATCAATCCAACGAGAATAGTTCCAATAAATGTTTTTCGAGTTTCAATATGCATATTTGTCACTCTGTTTTTCATCAAATCTAGACTTTGAATGACTAGTTCACTTATTCCCATTGAAGATTCTGTATTTGTAGATTGTGGCTGTTCACGACATACTTTTTGTAAAACATGTACAAATCGAGAAGACAAGTTATCGATAAAAGCTGGATTGTTAGCACTGGCAGCTTTTAACATTATGACACATGTTAAAAATCGATTATAATTTTGTGATATATTTTTTTCAAAATTATTTAAACTTTCATCAATTAACTAAAATTTAAAGATAATGGATAATTTTATTATATCAAACATAAAGCAAAAAATATAGTAACATACCACATTTATTAAAATGTAAAGTTCTTCGAGTTCATTAAGGTATGGTTTTACCATAGGGAATATATAAATTAAACGAGTAAGAAATGCATGTGCCATTCGTCCAATCTAAAATAACATATTATATTAAAAATAAAAATATAATAATAATAAATATATTTAAATTGTAATTACCTTCATATTAGTAGTACTAATGCAATCATATAATGATTTCTGAAGAGGTTTAATTGTGCTTAAAATTTGTTCTTTTGGTAAAGTGGTTAAAAAAAATACTAAAAGATCAAATGCTGATGCAATATTTGCAACAGCAATTGCAGTAGCGGGATTATTAGCAGCTGGTTCCAAACTTGATACAGTACAAAATACTTTTTCCATCCATGCTAATTTTAACATATCAATACATCTGGACATTATAGCTTCTGATTTCAAAGCA